GATTGTAAGTCCTACCCTGGATAAGAGGTTTGCCTGATTCTGGTTCCTTTGGGCACTCTCTCGCATAATGTTGGATACTACTACATATGTAACATGTGTTGTTGAGGCGGTAGTAGGGCCGGTCCCCATGATCCCTGCCGTAATGCTAACAGATCTTCCCACGTCCTGCCACTAAAGCTTGGGGGGGTCGTTACAGTTGGATTTCCGGGATCGTTATAAAAAATTAATTATAAAAAAAATATAATAAACTCGTTGATACTTATTCTAATTTAGTTACTATAACTTTACTAATATATTAGTGAAATAAGTATTCGATTTTTTTAAATCAAATATTATAAACTGGTCATCGTCTACTCGTAAAATATTCGCTCAATTACAAACTCTAAAATTTCAAATAAAATTAAAATTGATGACATTCAAATAAAATAAAAAAGGGTACCAAACTATTAAAATAGAATAATATTATTGGTTGGTTTCAATAGCTATTGATTATTTCAATTGGTGTTGTTGGTAGGTTTCATTAGCCATTGATTCTTCTAATTATCACCTTTTTTATTCAATAAGAAAAACACCAATGCACTAGCCACTTTCCTTCCCCATTTAAAATTCATTTGTAGTTATAACTTTTATGAATTGATCAATTGGGTATATCATATATATACATACATATATATATATATCTATATCTATATGTAAGAATAAATAAATATATATATATTGTATATGACATGCATGTGGATGTGTGTATGTTTATTTTGACAATATCTTCTTTTTAACTTTTTCTCTATTTCGTCGGTACGAAGATTAATATACAAAATGGCTTTCACTCATCAATCTTGGTTTTTCTTTTTTTTTTTTTTTAAAAAAAAATCCTTTTCTTTTTAATTCCTAATTCTTAATAGTTATTACCATTGCTCAAATATTAACACTGAGAAAGTGCCGGCCAGCTGGTTTTTTTTTTCTTAAAAAGAATGCTAAATATTATTTTAAAAAATATTATTACAACTAAATATATAAAATACGAAACTTTAAAAATTAATTTCATAAAAAAAACATAGTAATAATATACTATTTTTACAATTATTTTTATTAAACACCGAATATTTTTGTACTAAAATCACTTCTGATGAACCCTAAATTTATCATTTCCTAAACATTAGCATTTGAAGATTTTGATAGATACCAACAAATATTAATTTTTTAGGAAAAAGAATATGTAAAATATGTCCTGAGCATCTGGATGCCATGATTATTGATCATGGTAAATCCTGGCCACCCGATAATTAAGTGATGATGAGTTAATCAATGTGATTTGACGATAATCATCATCATTAGTAGTAATTTCATGGCACCAATCCGATTTATATGACATATAATTATATTTGCAAGTGGGAGTGGGTGTCCTTCAACTAACAAAAAGTAATAGTTTCGTGTGTATATATATGTGTGTGTGTGTGGGTATATTACTTGGTCATAGAATAAGAATTATATAAATGTTTTTAGTGTGTGTGTGTGTGTGTGTATATATATATTCGCTAAGGAGTTTCAACTTTATTAATACACCTTATCACTTAATGAATTATAAGTTAATAATAAATAATTTATATTATTTAATTTATTAATATGGTAAAAAAAGTTGATTTAATCTTTTTTAATCAAATATGTATGTGTGAGTGTGTGTGTGTGTGTGTGTGTGTGTGTGTGTGTGTGTGTG